GACCTATACAGTTTAAGAAAGCTGTCCTCACCAGCTAAACTGAGAAAAATTCGTTGAGAACTATGAATCCAACCCACTTCAACGATTTCTGCTAGTCCGCGAATCCAACACTTCTGAACAGCAGCTTCTTCTGGATCGAAGGTGTGCTAGAGCCACAAACAAGAACGATCTTAAGTGCATCATCAAGAAGGTCTTAAATTCAACCAGTTCCATTAACCTTCTCCAATCAGCTAAAGTATGTGACTCACACCTTCCGCCCTCGCCCTGCTTCGTTTGATGAACTCAGAACATTGATCAAGGATGCATTTAAAGCCTAAGCCTCTCATCATTGCAGAAAGGTTTAAATTTCATCAAAGGAAGCAGGGCGAGGGGGAAGGTGTGATCAATACTTAGCTGAATGAAGAAGGTTAAGTGAGAACTAGTGAATTTAAAGACTTTCTTGATGATGCACTTAGAGATCGTTTTGTTTGTGTCTAGCAACACCTTCGATCCAGAAGAAGCCTGCTGTCCAGAAGATAAGTTAACACTTAGAAAGCTTTAGACATTGCAGTGTCGATGGAAATGGCTGCAAAAGAAACTGTGAAACTTAAAAACGTCCTGAGATTGAGGTCAAACATAGTGCAAATAAACTCACAACCAACAAAAAAGAATGTTTTCGATGTGGTAAAAGTAACCATGAGCCAGATGTTTGTTTTCATAGGAAAAGTCAGTGTAATTCCTGTAAACAGTATGGGACACTTAGGTAAATGTTGCCCTCAAAAACATGTAAAATCTGATCAAAAGTCGGTACATGAACGTAGTACATCAAAGCCAGAGCATTCAGGTAGATCCGACAGAAATTCAAAAAGAATAAATCTAGAGTGCAGTATGTTGAAAATGCTGAATCTATTTCATCTGAATCTGATGAAAAAGATGAAGATTGGCCATTATTTACAATGAAATCACCAAAACAGAAGGAAATAATTGTACATGTCAATATTGAAGGTTATTCTCAGAAGATGGAACTTGATACTGGTGCTTCAGTTTTCAATATTTGTCAAGAGACTGATATAAAGGACATTTCAGTAACATAGCTCTTAGACCTAGTTCAGTGATTTTGAAAACATATACGAATGAAACTGTTCAAATTTTGGGTGAAATTGATGTAAATGTCTGTTATGGAATCAGGAAGCTAAGTTGCCTTTAGTGGTTGTGAAAGGTTCCGGACCAGCATTATTTGCGTAGAAATTGGTTATCAGCATAACTTTAGACTGGAAAAAATAAATTCACATCTTGGATAAAGGACATTTCTTCAGTGAATGAATATGAAAAGGTTCCAAATGTTTTTGACAATAAAACGGTGAATGAAGGAGTTAAATGTGAAATTGTCTGTGAAGATGGAGCAAGCCTGTATTTTAATAAGCCAAGGCACAGTACCTTATGCCTTCGTGACAAGGTATAGCACAAGGAACTTGATCGTCTGGTAAAGGAGGGAATTGTAAAAAGGTTTCGTATTCGGATGGGCTACAGCCAATAGTTGCTATTCAGATAACCTAACAAACTGTAAGAATTTGTGGAGACTACAAGGTTACCTTTGAATCCAGTTTGGATGTTCCAGAATATCCTTTACCAACATCAGATGATTGTTCCAAAAAATTGAATGGTGGTAAAAAATTCACTAAATTGGACTTGTCGCATGCTTATCAACAGGCTTGTTACTTGATGAGTCATCAAGAAAATATGTAACTATAAATACTCACGCTAGGTTATTCTTACTTACGTTTGCCATTTGGGGTTACTTCAGCGCCAGCGTTTGTTTCAGGCCATGGAAAATTTTTGGAATTGGTTGCATTTCATCCCCAAAAAAAGATCGTTTGGAGTAGATATATGACACTTGACAAAACTTGGAATGTAACACGATGAATGACATGAACTAAGTTAAAATTGCCTTCGAAAAGGTTACTTTAGCATGAGATGAAGGTTGAAATTCGCTTTCCGAAGTACCAAAGGAGGGAAATAAGATTGATTGCCGTCTTACATGACTAATAACCGAAAAGGAACTTAAACAAAGGCTTGGATTACGTAATTATACCTGCCGATTCATTCCAATATGTCCAACTATTGTACAGCCGCTTACAGAATTATTGAATAATGGTGTTAAGTGGAATTGGACAGAATCGTGCAAAGAAGCATGTGAAAACTGTTAAGCATTGTTTGACGTCACCCACAGTCCTTGTTACATTATCATCCGGAGAAATACAGTCACATTAGCTGTAGACGCGTCGCCGTATGGATTTTAGCCGCTGTTATTTTCGCAATGAAATGGAGAACGGCTCAGATAGACCTATAGCGTATGCATCAAGAACACTAACTGCAATCTGAGAGAAATTACTCTCAACTTGAAAAAGTAAGCATTAGCCATAATATTCGGTATTCAGAAATTTCATCAGTTCTTGTATGCGCGTAAATTCACTTTGTTGACGGACAATAAACCTTTAAGTCTAATACTAGGACCTAAGAAAAGGCATACCAGTTCTAGACCGCGTCAAGAATTACAAAGATGGGCAATCCAAGTTGTCGGCTTAATCAGTCATGATAGTCAGCATATGATCAACAACGAAGAAATGGAAATGCTGATAACATTGTCACGTTTTTCGCGCTACCTGAGATTACTGGAGGAGTTCGAAACAATGTGTTGTTTGTGGGAAGGCAGCGAAGTAGAACAAGGAACAAGTGAATTCTCTTTCCAGTTACACCGAGTAACAATTGCCAAAAGCTTCGCGAATGATCCGGTGTTATCAAAGGTTGATACATTATACAATAAAACGGTTTGGCCTGTCAATCTGAACTTAAGTGAAAGAATAACTTACCATAATTATAAGTGTAGGAGAAATGAATTTACCACTGAAGGAAAGTTGTTTATTAACGAGGAATAGCGAGTTGAATTCCACGTCTACGTTTGCAAGAAAAGGATGTTGAAGAAGATTACATGAAAATCATCCTGGAATTGTTAAGATGAGATCTTTAGCAAGAATGCATATGTGTGGTTGAATAGTAGAACACTGACTAGAAAGTAAGGTAAAAAGCTGTATTCCTTGTCAGCAGAATAGAATGACCCGATGGCTAAAGCCACACGCCTAATCCTTGAGATGGGCTAGTAAACCCTGGCAGCGTATTGCATATTGACTATGCTGGGCCATTCATGAATCAAATGTTTTTAATTGTTGTGGACGCCCCACTCGAAAAATGGATGGAAGTTCTCAAAATGGCTTCTACAACTACTGAAACGTACTGTAATGCATTAAGATATTTGTTTTTCAGCCCTACGGGATAGTGGAGGAATAGTATCTGACAACGGTCCACAATTTGTCTCTGAAGAATTCCAGAAATTTGTTAAATTAAATGGAATAAATCATATATCGTTCAGCAGCTTATCATCCGAGTTCAAACGGGGAGGCTGAAAAGAGCTGTCCAAACTTTTTAAAACAACTATGAAAACTATGAATAATGAACCTGGAACTTTGAATCAAAAAGATGGCGAGATTTTGTTATCAGTATCGTTCCAGCTCCGCACTCCTACGACACAAGTATCCTCCAGCCAGAATTATTTCTTGGACGACAAATTCGAACACGTCTAGATATCATGCGTCCAAACTTAAGTAACAAGATTCAAAAGAATACTACTCCAAAAGAATCTAAAGTTCGCATATTTCAAGAAGGCGATAGTGTATTTGGATTCGCGACTAACAGAAATCGGTGAAAAGTGGTTGTGGAATCATAGTTCATAAACTTGGTCCTGTAACTTACCAAGTTAAAGTGGGTGATCTAATTTGGAAACGCCCATGTGACCAAATTCGTGAACGCGAAACTGATAGATCCTGTAAACGAAAGCAATACCAATATACCTATAACATGCACGTACCATTTGATTCAACTTAGTCAAACCAGGTACAAGACAATTTACCAAAATTCTACAGTAGAATCAGCAAACAGAAGCGTGTGTTCAAACCCCAGTTCAAGCAGAATCACATGAAAAACTCAAAGACAGCAAGTCCAGCAATGAAACCATTACCAAAACGTTCAACTAGAGGAATTACCACCAAGAAAATTAGATTTGTGATTTTAAATAGCTACATGTATATGGCATGCATGTGTGTAAGGGCAATAATAATCCCTGTGCTACCCATGGAGAACAAAGTTCTCTTATATTCTAGTGTATATGTTTTTAGTTAAAAATGTTTGTTTCTTTTTAAGTTACAATAACTGATAAACAATATTCTTAAAATTTTGAATAGAAAAAAGAAACAGTTGACAGTTTGATGTTACAGTATAAAACTTTAATCAGTTTCATGGATTATTATTATCCATAGTAAATATAAAGCTAGACTTTTTATTATTTTTTTTCTAAAAGGGGGAAAAGTGTAGTGTTTTGAATATGCGCAGTGTAATACTAACTGTTTTTTAGTCTATTGAAGTATTATCAATATAGTAACAATTTTAGGCTAGTAAAGTCTGTTGAATACTCTCTCATTGTGAAGGTTTAGCGCCATATTAAATCAGTAAAAAGTAACAGCGACATTCTAGTTTTCCTTAATAAAATATAAGAACCCAACACAACATTTACAATCCGCCTCTAACATTGGATGTCTTTTGTATGTCTTAATGTTTGCGACAGCGAAAACAACTTGAAAAAACTGACTGGTCATAAATAACTGTAATGTAGCTAACGATTAATTAATTAATTTATTTATTTCTATTACAAAAAAAAGAAAATATTATGCCATTGCGATAAAACAGTTATAGTATATGAAACTCGTTAGTTACGAGGATATAACACTGGCTGGGCGACATCTCGGGATGTTTCTGCAAAAAATTGTCTCGGCCTTTCGGCCTCTCCATTTTGTTAGCAGAAACATTCCTTGATGTCGCCCCAGTCAGTGTTATCCTCGTAACTCACTCGTTTCATATACTATAACTATTATAAGTATTACGGAAAACATTAATTCATTGGACACTGAATAAATGATTATATACGTTTTATTTTATATTCTGATTTGTATTATCTGTATAATATAACCAAAGTGATTTTAGTATTGCGCTTACCAAACCGTAAACATGCAAAAAGAACTAGTAAATAAGATAATAAACAAAATAATGAAATTATAACATAAAACAACGAAACTATTTTTGTAACTTTTAGATGTTTTTATTTAAAATTAAACTCTGATTAATATCATAGGACAGGAAAACATATCTACATAGAAAATGAAAGAGAATAACAAATTTTATAAAATTCAGGTGAAAAAGAATTACATTTTTTATAAAATAAAGTGTGTCTAAATCAAAAGCATTATTAACTCAGATTGAATTTTGTTTGAAAAGAGAATTATAATCTAGCTTATTTAGGATTTTACCGATGTTTCTTAAACAATTAATTTTGAAAACAAAAAATAAATAAAACATGCCAATTTATGTCTTTTAAATGGCGTATTAATAACACACAAGTTATATTAAAGCTACGTTTCAACCTCCATGTAAAATTAGAAAAAAACTTTATATCCATTTGAGTAAATTCTTTCAAATATATAAATTAGTTTCAGAAATTAAATGTGAAATATAATTCTTTTATTTAGGAATGAGATTAAAATATTGATATTTATATAATGTGCAGCAATGTTTTCAATTTGAAAGTATTAAATGCGATTACTAAACTGGTTTCGTGACAATTTTCAATGATCATTGAATAATTTCTTAAAGATCAAAAATCTACTAGTATGTATTTAGCAATTATAGCAAAATATTTATTCTTTAAACAAAGAATTTAATTCTTTTATCCTGTCTTGCTATTCATATATAATTCCTTGGATGTTCTGCTCGGAGAATGCCCGCCGCTTATACCGTATCTATAAAGAAAACAGGTTTGACAACGAGGGTTATAATGATGATGATAATAATAACAGAATGGTAATAATAATAGAAACAAAAGGAATTTCAAAAGGATACCCAGACCTTGCAAACATACTTTATTTGTTTGTTTGACTTACAATAATAATAGAAACAAAAGGTATATCAAAAGGATACCCAGACCTTGCAAACATACTTTATTTGTTTGTTTGACTTACAATAATAATAGAAACAAAAGGTATTTCAAAAGGATCCTCAGACCTTGCAAACATACTTTATTTGTTTGTTTGACTTACAATAATAATAGAAACAAAAGGTATATCAAAAGGATACTCAGACCTTGCAAACATACTTTATTTGTTTGTTTCATCATAACATGTTGATACACATATTAAAAATTACTACAGGTACACCATCCATAAGATTAGATCTTGAAACTTTTATTAACTTTCGTAAACACTTTTTTTATCCAGAAAAGGCAAAGCAGATTCATCTGTATTATTGCATTATTTATTTTTAACATAAATAATGTATATTTAAGGTATGTGTATCATCCACATATGGAACATTTCTTCACGTCAAAATGATAAGTCAATAAAGAACAACCAAGTACAATTTTTTGTCAACATTTTAGAAAAATATGTAAATTCATGTAATAAATATATGATGTTTAGACCATTTATCAACATAATTATAATTCGAGTTATTGTTCAATTCCTGGAAATCATCTGATATGCTGAATAAAATAAATCAGCGTTTGATGTTATTTCTAATATAATATATTGCTATATGGGAAAATATTCATGTAAAATCAAAAGGTAAATGAAAGGTAGAAATGTCAAGGGTATACAAGATAAACAAATATTGCCAAGATGCATTAACACATTTTGTTAGCTCGTGACTACTCGACATATCCGTATTACGCAGCATTTTCTGTTTAATATTTATAATATGAGGATAGTTTTTCGTTTGAGTTAAATATAGAATATATTTTCACGAAACATGATAAAATGCCACATATTTTTAGGAGTCGGGACGGCGAGTGAAAATATGTGGCATTTTATCATGTTTCGTGAAAATATATACCATATTTCACGAAAAAACGAAAATAAAAACCCTTTTATTTAATTTTGAACATTAAAATGGTTACGAACTCCCTTGCTTGCTACGAAACTGAAATTGTACAGCGCGCAGTAATATAACTAAATATCTTGTTTTGCACGCGATATTTAGCGCTACATTATGACGTCATGTAAACAACTCGTACATCGTTAATGACTGAATTGAATATATTGGTGTTCGGATTTATTTACTTAGTTAGACCATTTTCTATCATTGTAGATAGTTTTCAAAACAAAATTCAACAAACAATTGTTTTGTATTTATCAGATTTTTCACACAAAATGGCGAAAGAAGTCCCTAAAAATAAATATGAGTTTTGACTCCGCCCACTTTCATATTTATAGATCTATTTCATATTTATTTTTAAAAAATATAAAATATATTTGACTGATATAGCGCCTTATTTCATGGGTAAAATTAGATAATGAGTTGTTTACCTTCTACTTGTGACTTTTTTCACGGAGTTTATTCAGCAATGCTCTCAACAGAGTCTTTCTTAAAATAAATCTACGTCCTCCTGGTGCAGCAGCGGTTGTTCCAGCATCTGCTGCCGTGGTACCCCCTGCCGCTGCCGTGGTACCCCCTGCTGCTGCCGTGGTACCCCCTGCTGCTGCTGTATTAGGATTTGCTGCAGTGGTATCCTCTGCTTCTGTTGTTCCAGAATCTGTTGCAGGCCCTGCAGCTGTTGTTCCAGCATTTGCTGCAGTTGTATCTTCTGCCTCTGTCGTTGGAGGAGCTTCTGTAGTATCTTCGGTCGTTGCATCTGATTCACCTGCTTGTTCGAAGAATTCTTCAAGCGCTAAACAAGAAGTATAAAATAAATTAATACATTGCTTTCCAGTCAGAACTTTGTCCTTATAAAGTAAGTAGATTTTTGCCAATTTATTAAGGACCTAAACGACAATGTGCAGGATGGTAGCTGATCTGAAACGTCTTTTAATTAGAACTGATAAAAAGCAATAACCAAAGGTTCCGGTTTATTATGACTGCTACCTCATGCCAGGTAAATTTCTGCTGTCTCCGTTGATACAAATTTCCTAAACAATATCCATTTTACTTGAAATTAGATTAATTTACTTACCTTTTCATATCTATCTTACCCTATTTAAAAAAAACCCATCAGATTTGTGATGCAGAAGTGGCTGGTTCTCTCTGCGAGGGATGCAAAATTTCTCGGTAACAATTGAGTTTTATGGTCACTGCAGATTCAAACATTGTGTAGGAATATTAGCCACTTGCAGTGAAATCGGTAATGACTGGTTACTTATCTTGAGCAGGTAGACCAATCTCTGGGAAATTTAAAATCTGTCCCAAAACTAAGTAAACCCATTAAAAAACCCGACTGACCGACCAACAATCAAATCAACCAACCAACCACCCTACCCAATACTCAACTAACAAAGACAAGTCATTTCTTTGCTTGTGTATACTGCATTTGAGCCGCGTCACGACAAAACCAACATAGTGCGTTTGCGACCAGCATGGATCAAGACCAGCCTGCGCTTCCGCGCAGTCTGATCAGGATCCATGCTGTTCGCTATCAGTTTCTCCACTTGTAATAGAGTTGGTAAGCGAACAGCATGGATCCTGATCAGACTGGTCGCAAACGCACTATGTTGTTTTTTTCGTGACGCGGCTCATTTATAATTTACCCTCCCCCCGAATTAACACCAATTATTATTGTCAATAAATATCAATAAAATACTCCTTAGAATGTTGTCATTTTATTCAACATACATTCTAGAAGTTCTCCTAAGTTTTCAGCATCTTCGATGAATTCCGACAAGGACATAAGAAACATCGCTTGTTCTTCATCAGATACTTCTTCCCCTGCAACACAATTAAAAACATCAATTAGTTTATCAGTTAACTACCTGGTGAATGTGCTTTACTTTAAATTTTAAACAGTCCATTAAATATCAAATTTAAAAAAGATGAGCTAAAAACATCTGAAAGCCTGTTTAGACTGCACGGTGCAGGCCGGCCTGTCTCTACATTCGTACACAGATTAATAGTTAAATCACATTAGTTTATAATTTTAAAATTAACATTCTACATGAGTGAAGATAATAATTTAATTAATCAAATAATTTAAAATGACTGTTATAAAAAATGAGTGTCAGCAACACCCACGTTGATCAATACAGAGACAATCAGATACATAGACATGTAAACAACAAGGTAAAATAATTTGTGTGACGTAGTAGTAAATGTATCGCTTGCTCATATCTCTTGAGGTTTAAATACTCCAAGTGACGTTGGAATCTTTCATTGAAGAGAAGGTAGCTTGTTCGCTTACACAGGTGCTCGCTGGTTATTAATAGAACATGAAAATGGTCATATGACACTTTGACTGTAAACCCTTGAAAACATTCCGTTCATTTCAAAATTGCACCATTAAAATCATTTTCGTGTGGAATTTGTTTTGACCCTTCACTTTTAACGACCCGGTTTACAAGTAATAGGCTTTAACACAAGCTTGTGTTGTATATTGTCATTTTCTTTTGGTGCTATTAAGGTAAGAACTCCTTACCAAGGCTGACGATTAAGTCAATATATCTGGTTATTATGTCCACAATATCTTCCAGTCTTCTAATGGCCATTTTTCCTTTTCGGAAAATATTTGGTTCACGATCTTGATCCTGCCCCTGACCTTGATTTCCACCTTGACCTCCGCCTTGACCTCCACCATGCATTCTTTTCATCAAATTTTCATGACTAAATAAACAATTTTATTTAAAGTACTACTCTCTGTTATTAAAACACGTTTATTGATTTCACATAATAAGATCATGTATTTAAGAAATGTTTAAGATAATTTATTGACAAGTTTAAACTTTTAGCTATCACTTTTATTATAGTCTTATGTGTAAATGATGCAGCTCCGTAAGTTTAGAGCAATCAATATGTAAAACATAAAGCAGGCGTATCCCTTTGTTTATATAGACCTGAGGTCAAACATGCATGGTAACAAACATATTGTTCGAGATCAAACATACATGGTAACGGAAGTTATATTCGAGGCCAAACATAAATGGTAACGGACATAATATTCAACGTCAAACAAACTTGTTACGAACATAATAACTAGCGTAATAAAACGTAAAGAAAGACATGGCAACAATGTCCATAGCTCACTCTTGTTCAGGTTTTTTTTGTAGATTCGAATTGGTAGAACCTTTTGGTACATACACTCGCTTGTAAATGTACATGTTTAGAGCAACGGACATATTACATATTTATATAAAGCTTGTATGTAACTTTTTGGGGTTGGGCTCATGACGTTGCACAAACTGTAAATATCATGCGGCGACTTTTAAGCTGAAATGGTTGAGGAAAACCTTAGGTGCCTCTCCACGAATAGAAACCTTAGTAGAACCACCTACGTTTCGTAAGCGAGCCGGATAGCCTACTTACATGAAATAAGCCAAGATCCCTGATAGGTTCCAACCATCAAACCATAACCATTGCTTGTAACTTTTAGTTAAAAAAATTGGCTACAGAGGAAGTTCTTGAAAATATTGAAGAATTTTTAAGTGACTCACATGGTCTTCCTTATGTGATCTCTGTTAATAGTATTCCCAGCAACAAGTGCGACACAAACAACGCACAAAAATACAAGTTTGACGTCCATTGTTTTTATTTATTTCACCAGTACTGTAAAAAATGTATGCATCAATTATTTATGAATGTAATAAATAGAGGATATTTGTTTGTTTGTGTGTAAGATGAAATTTTATTTCATCGAGTGGGCTTTAAAAACAGTATTCTCACGAGTGGCGTAGCCACGAATGAGAATACTGTTTTTAAAGTTCACGAGATGAAATAAAATTACATCTTACACAACAAACAAACAAATTTTCTTTTTATTTTATGCTAAAAAACAAGTTTAAACGAAATTTCCATAATATTAACATAAATATTAAAATCTGTTTCCCCATTGAGAGCCCCATTTCGTGCGAATTTCTCATTAAAAACAAGAAGTCTTGAGCTGAAAAATAAGTCCGACAATCAACATTAAATGACAGTGATATTATTTATTTTGTTTAAAAAATATGAATGATCGCTTGTTTTAATAATAAAAACAAACAATTCGTGTAGGAGAAAATTCCAACCATCCATCCATATTTCTGTTACCTACTGCGAATTTATATTAGACCTGGCTTTGTTAAATGTAAGCGGCAGCCATTTTTTAAAGTTGTGTATTTCACGGAGGAAAATAATTTGTGTTTGATTCAGAGGGATATCATTTGGAATTGTTAGTCATACACCTTTTTAAAAGAAAGAAAACATATTTGAGGATTGAAACAGACAAAAATTAAGTGTTGACAGATGTGAAAACATGAAAAAAGCAGCTATGAAAATGGAAGACTTGGAACTTGCTCGGAACGCTGGGTTGGTTTACTTGTTCTACGAGCTGTAGCTGTCATTGCTTTTCAATTTTTCATAAAGCATACGGCAGTTATTACTCGTAGGATACTTTAATATGCCCAAATGTCATCAAGAGCAGTTTGCATGTGGAAGGAATGTATTTTTCAGACTGTAAAAATGAAACAAAAAATTTAGAGACGAAATTTGGTGATTGGAATTTGAATGAATAGAAGTAAGTTTTCTTCTTTTTATTACTTTTGACGTTTAAGGTATTTATCAATTTCAGCTTTCCTTTTTCTTTAAACAGCCTGACATTGTCAGAATTGTCAGCAAAAATAAAATTGAGGTACCACATGGGGATAATCTTAAAAAAGTAGTTTCGTCATTGAAAAAAGTGAAATTATATTTTGATAATTTTCACTGTGAAATTACCAAATATAATTTTCACGGATAAATCAGTAATCCACTGAAAAGCATAAAATAAAGAATTTTTATTGTAGTATTCTGCTTATTTGTTGAGTAAAGAATATAATTTTGCTGTTTGAAGGTTCGTTAAATGAACACTATAAGTGGCATTCAACGGAACTTACGTTTTAACTGGTTTGCTATCAAGGTGAATTATGGCATTTGAGATTCATAAAGAACTGAGTAAAACAGAATCTAAAAAGAACGCCTAAAGCGGTAAAATTTAAAATTCGCCGACTCGTTCTGTTTGATTTATATTGAAACCAATAGATTCTTAAGATGAACATTAATAAAAGACAGTCATGGCAAATCAACGAACAACTATATATCACGCTGTGTCGACTAGTTGCCTGACTAATATAATAATAAATAATTAATGAGAGACAATAAAATAATGTTTATTTTGAAGAAATGCAGATGAAATTGTATTTCATAAGCTTAGAAATTCGCGACAAAACATAATATATCACAATTTGTCATTTAGTTACCTGACAATCTAATCTACATGTAATGAGAGGTCAAAATAGTATTCTTTTTAATAAAAAATAATGCTCACAAAGAAATGCGGGCTATAATGTAATTATATCTATTTCGCCTAGGAATTATGAAATTGGTGTAATAAGATAAAGATATGTTGTATATTTTTGTAAAGTTCTTAATTTTTTAACAAAAGATAAGGAGACTAGGTTTTTTAAAGAAATAATGCCGCTTAAATATTCTTTTGTAGCACTTTTAAAAGTTGCATTTTCATCATCATCGCCTCGTTGTCGTCGTCTTTGTCGTCATCATCATCATCATCATCATCATCAGTAGCAGCAGCTACAGCACTATTACCATGGTAACTTTTATTAAGATATATCTCATTTACCTTTGGTATTTATTATAATTACACCATCACGTTTCAATGATTTTAGATAACTTACCATCTTACTTATATCGCACGCTTCAACAAATGCTCAAATCTGTTTTAACCTAAGTACTTTTATATCTTTATATCTTGGTAAAAGGTTAATACCGACCAAAATTGCCTTCATGTTCAATGTAAGATGTTAATCATTCTTTTCTTTATTCTCCTTTTGGCGACTGTTCGTACATTGCTACGTCGATGAGTTCGTGTTTAATGGTCCGAAAACCCAAATGTACAGTTGGATAATGAACTTATAAAAATGCTTATAAATAAGAGAATTCAATGTTAAAAAAAAATAATGAAAATGACCTGAAACCAAAATATGAGGAAATGATATCATTACACATTTAAATTATTGTACAAAAATTGATTCAGTTTTGAAAAGGACGTATCTGTACCAGACCCCCAAAGATATCAAAGCACGAGCGAAACCATATTTCTATACATTTTAAAAAAAATAATAGATCATGCTGCTCTGATGATGATGGTAACGACGACGACGACGCCGATGATGATGATGGCGATAACGACAACGATGAGGTTGTTGACGACTACAACGATGATTATGGCGACGACGATGACGATGATAATGATGATGACGATAGCGATGATGACGACGATGGGGGTGACGTTGAGGACGATGACGACGACGATGATGATTATGAGGATGAAAATCAGAATAAATACGCTTAAATCAGAATAAAAATGAAAGTTGCGACAATGCAAATTGATATGTATATATATTAACAAGTAAATGTGTTTAAAAAACGAACTACGTGTAATGTCCTTATTTGTAAATAACACATTAAGGTAATCGAGGTATTTCAAGACTAATCGCCAGATTTAATTTTACAAAACATAGACAAATTATGATGTCTATGTTGCATCTAAGTGATCTGATATAATTATGCCAATATATATAATGATTGCTGTTATGTATAGATCTGTAATGTAATGATATAATTTGTATTTGATTGTTTGGTTGGGTTTCATGTCGCACCAACACTGTAGGGGTTATATGTCGACTAACCAGCTTTAATTGTGGAGGAAGACTTCAGGTGCCCCTCCGTGCATTATTTAAGGCACGAGCGGGAACCTGAATAGACACAAGCTATTCCGTTCGTTAGCTTGATAGCTTCTTCACCTCACAAGAAATAATCAAAAGCCCCTGGCGAGAGTCAAACCTAAAACCGGTGAGAGACAAATGGTTTGTAGTCAACGTCCTTAACCACTCGGCCTATGACTCCCCATATAATGGGATGAAAAATTATATTTGTGTAGAGATTGGACTGACATGTATAAAATTTTAGTTCATGACAAAATCTTCAGATATTTAATTTGAATTTGTTCTATAAAATACTAGTTGTTCAAAATTAACAAAAACTGCAGCTCTTATGTCCATATGCATTTTGTATAATATGTAATATATAGAAAACAATACTTACATAAAAAACAACCTTTTCCGCTACCTTCCTAATTTAAAACTATGAGTGTAAAAAAAGTATTTGTGAGCTTACTTATTTTTCTCCGGGTGACCGGCTCCCTATCACTGATTGTTACCATTACCTGTAACTAGTCATGCGTCCTGATTGAAATCTCACTTTTTTTCTTGTATCTTTAATTTTACATCAAACAAACAGTGTTCATATGACCTCATCAAATTGTTAAATGAGCCGCTTCATGAAAAAACCAACATAATGGGTTTGCGACCAGCATGGATCCAGACCAGCCTGCGCATCCGCGCAGTCTGATCAGGATCAATGCTGTTCGCTATCAGTTTCTCTACTTGTTATACGGTTTGTAAGCGAACAGCATGGATCCTGATCAGACTACGCGGATGCGCAGGCTAGTCTGGATCCATGCTGGTCTCAAACCCATTGTGTTGGTTTTGTCCTGACGCGGCTCAAATGTTTTTTAAAAGTCTATCATGATTCCTTGAGAGTATCACACATACTTTTGATTTATGTGCTTTTTTGTTCTCTCTACTTGAACATTGTGGTCAAGAGACAGTCTTAAGTTCAACCTAGTGTCATATTAAAGTTTAAACTCTCTTTTTTTATATCAAATTGTGTTTCTATGGAAACTAATTTTGTCATTTTTTTCTAATTAAAAAGATCAAGATGTTGTATAGTATAAAATTGTTTACTTTTTTGTTTAGGTTAAATGAAATTATTTGAGAACAAAACGTTTTATTTTTCGTCATGTTATCATAATTTTACAAAATCACGTTATGGTACCGTATACCAGATAAATCGTGTAACATGTATAAGTAAAAAAAAACAACATACGCTTACGCACACACGCACACACGCACACACGCACGCACACACACACACACACACAAAAACAGAAGTAAGAAAAAAATCGATTTCACTAAATTGACCTGGGTTTGATTTTATACCCCTTTAATACATACCACTTACGAAATACGTACCAATATCAACAAAACAAATCCAGATTTGACGTTCTTTTTGTAAAAAAAAAACACTTGCTCAAGGCAGAAATTGTTTGTGAACTAAGTATAAAAAATCTAGTTTCATCATAT